TATTTCTGAAATCTTCAAAAATTATTTACATTATTCGGACTATTGTCCTCATCTTTGATGTCATATTTATTACAACGCTTCGGCCGTTGTATGCTCCGGCCTTCTTCAGGTGGTTGGAATGTCAAGTACACATGGCACAGTGGATAAAGGTGTTGGTTAGATCCAGTGACAGGAGCCAAACAGTGTGAGTTCAATACCTGGTTAAGGCAGTGGAGAACTTTCAGAGGGAAATTAACAGGAGATAACTGATAACTGACATCCATTAAACATGACATGTGGAACTAGAACAGTCTACCCCAGTGAGCGAAATAAAGGGTTCAATTCAACATTCCAACCACCTGAAGAAGGCCAGAGTGTACAATGGCCGAAACGTTGCAATAAATATGGCGACAAAGATGAGGCCAATAGTCTGAATAATGTAATTAATGTACATAATACCTCATCTCAGAAATATAGACAGATATTGTCAAAAATGTTTGTGGCCCCCCCCCTTGCATCTGTGTTGGCTTCTCATTATAGGAACCAGCAATATTTCTTCCACATATTCAAATTGAAACATCCTTTATATATTCTTTATCTGAGATATGTCCAAGAGAACTTTTCATCATTCATGGCACACAGATACATGTCTCTTCAGGAAGCTCAAAAATATTGTTTTGATTCAAAATTTTAAAATTCTTTCTTCATGTGCTGTGTTCCTTTAGGACGTGAGCTATCATAGCTCTCCACAACTTCCTATACTTTGTAGCTGTTAGTAAGATTTGTCTCTTCACCATCTCTCCTAATACCTGTCCTGTCATCTATTTACACAAGCTTGTTAGGTAGATTACTAAATAATTTCCTCTGCCACCTTCAATATGTTGTGTGAGTATCAAATACTCCAAGCCCTCTTTCCTCATTATGTCTCGTAGAAATTTCACCTATCTCTTTCTGATTCTATGTATAAGCATCTTTTTTTGTTTCTATTTTTTTCATTTACCAGAGCTTATATTGCAATTATTGTTGTTATTTATTGCTTTTCTCTAGCACTCCTTATTACTAGTTCCCATATTGTATTTATTTTTATGCTTGGTTGACAAAGGAGATTTTTGTGGCTTAGCATATATGCTGATTCCTTAAGTTTTCATATTTTCCAAATGATGTTCGCTGTATTATGTCAACTTGATCCCAATGGGTGGGAGGGATTTCCCTTTTCCCTTCATATGTGATCAGCTAGACCTGATTTTTCTATTAATCATAATGCCTCATTTCAGAGATATAGACAGATAATAAATTCATTTCAATACCTAGAGGTTTCCCCATAGTAACGCTTATAGTAATTATTAAAGCTGATAAAATAAATTCCCTTTTCAAAGGTTTATTATTATTTTATTTGTATTAATTAAGTCTTTTATTGTTTTAGAAGTAGTTTTAACGAATTTTATGTTAAGCTTAGATAAATTCTTTCCAATAATATTTGTGATAGAATTGGTGGGTAGAATAAAATATTTTCATTCATTAGGTTTGTCAGAATAGCCTAGTCTTTTTAAATATTTTACGTGCCTTTTGTTTCACATTGAATATGAAATAATTAGTGTACTGGAGGAACTTAAAAGCATTTTCAATGTATTTCTTCTCTTCATGTAAATATTGGAGGTTATAAATTCTGAGTACTCTTAAATAAAACTCAGTGATTATTTCAGATTTTATTTTGTTGTTATGGAAAGAATCGTTATAAAATATTCATGAGATTTACATTTATATTTTAGTATGTTCTCTCCTTGTAATCACATTAATGGAAACATCACTTTAGTCTGATGACGTCCTAAATTGTTATCTTTTTCTTTATGTGCGATGTCCCTTTCAGTACATGGCTCTCCACAATTTCCTGTCGCATGTAACTCTGTCTTTCTGTTATTTCCCCTAATCTCCATTCCACCATCCATTTATTCATGCTCATTAAGTATGTTAGGCATTGTTTTCCTTTGTTCCTCTTACCCTCTTTCTGTCCCATGAGTATTAGATTTTCTAAGCCTTCCTTCCTCATTATATGCCCCAGAAACTTTAACTTTCTCTTCCTGATGTTAAGTATTAGTTTCCTTTTGTTTCCATTTTCTCCAAAACTTTATGATAACTCACATGTTCAGACCACAGTATCCTCAGCATCCTTCTGTAGAACTACATTTCTGTTGCTTCAAATCTCTTTTTCATCTTTGAGGAGATTTTACTGCACTCACTGCCATACAGAAGGACAGATATCACATAGCAGTTTAGTCCTCTTTTACTTGTTTCTTGCTAAATATTCCTGTTTCACAGTACTCTGCTTAGCTTTTAGGATGCTTCCTCGAGTATCCCAATACAACTTTCTATCTCAGTGTTGTTTTTTTGGGCTTCTGTTAAAACATTTTCTAGATATTTAAATTAACATAGGTTTTCCTAAAATAACAGACTATAATGCAAAATATTTGCATATGTATACATACATGTGTGTATATGTAAACATATATATGTATATATAAATACACACACACACACGTGTATGTGTGTATGTATATATGTATATAAAATCACTTTTCAAGGAAATTATAAACATTCATGATATAATATAATTTTGATGATGAAATGTCATTGAACACAAAAAATCAATATGAAAATTATATATGATTAGAAATTTATCTTTAATCCCCTTCATCAAAGCATTATATATTGCTGCCACATCTGATCTGGTGTTTCTGCTATGGATTTAGAAATTCTTGATAAAATTCAAAGAAGAATATGCAATGTTATTAGTACTGACATGGCACATTGGCTTCAGCACTCCAACAACATAGCTTCCCTGTACCTTTTCTATAAATACTTTTATGATAATTACTCTGATGAACTTTCCTCTTTGGTATCTAAACTTTATGAATTTAAGTGTTCTACTAGATTTGCAGCAAGGTTTCGTCTTTTTACAGTTAAAATGACTAGATGTAACCATAAGTTTTATGTTAACGGTTTCTTCTCTTGCACTTCTCACTTGTGGAACTCTCTTTTGGCTTCTTGCTTTCCAGTGAACTTTGACCATCAAAAATTTAATTGCAGTGCCAATCATTATCTTCTGTCTTCTTAATTCCTGTTCTTTTATTGATCTCATTTCTTAATGTTTTCTTTTACTCATATTCTCTCCCACTTGCATCTTTATTGTCTTGCTTTGAGTGAAATGAATAATTAAAAAAATATAAATAAAAAAATCCCAATTCATTAAAAGATAATCTTGAAGAACAGATAATATATGCTAATATTTCAATTCCAAGTCATAAGATCCAAATTCTTGGACCATTTTTCTAATATTATTTATCTTTACAAATGATCATTTTTCTGTGACTATAGATTTTTCCCAAGAATTTTGCTTTTAAATCACATTTTATCCAGGTTACTTCAAGCAGTTCTTTTTTTACTAAGCCATAAAAATAATTTTAAAAAAATACTATATCATTGAATCTAGAAAATTGCATTTAGCTGTGTAGATATTAATTTTAATAATTCCATTTGTTTTACTCTGACAAACCTAGGAAAACAAAATCTTCATTAAATTGAACATTTACACATCAATTTTTTACTTGGGCTTCCAATCTTCAGAGCTACCATTTTGTTATAGAAATCATAAAATCTCAGAGCTTTCTAACATCTAAATTGATTGTCAAAGTGGGAAGTACAAAGATGATCGGCTGTCAAATATAATAAGAACTTAGTCAACAACACTGAAAATAAGAAAGTAAAAACTAACAATTTGAGGATGAAAATGATAAATCTGTTGATTTAGAGACAAATTTCAATATAACTTGTCACTTCTGCATTTTGTAACAAATTCCTAAAGAAAAAAAATCAAATTCTTTTAGAAAGTAAATGTTTGACTTATTTTGTTTGTAACAGAAATTACATTGCAAAACTTTGAGCCTGACAAGTAAAAATTATTTTTGATAGGTCATCAGTAAAAGTCATGGTATCGTCAGTGGCAATAGTTAAAAAAATTTATTTTATGAAACATTTCAAGAGTAAGAAATGTAAAGCTAAAAAGATGCATGCAGAGATGACTTTTACTGTAGTCTTGAAAAATGAGATGTTTAAGAATGCAAAATATTGATATTGTACATTTGCAAACTGATCCAAGAGGAATAAAAACAAATCTAACAATTTGAAAACTATATTATTATCATTATGCTTTTCTACCAAGAATCAATGTGTAGTATCTGTTCAAACCCCATCCCTTCTGGACTAGAATATGTTTTACTTTCTATGCAAGAAAACTACAATTTTATCCATCAGCACTTCTCTTTTGTCAAGACTTGAAACAGAAATGTCATTCTACAGAAGGATGCTGAGAATACTATGGCCTGAACATGAGAGGATTAACAAAGTTCTAGATATAATGGAAACTAAAAGGATACTTATACTTAAGATCAGAAAGAGAGAGAAATTTCTAGGGTACATAATGAGGAAAGAGGGCTTGGAAAATCTGATACTCACAAAACAGATTGAAGGCAAGAGGGACAAATGAAAATAATGCATAAGCTATCTAGTGAGCTTGAGTAAATGGATGGCAGAAAAAGGTTTATGAGAGAGAAGAAAAACACAAAATTTACTAAGAGCTACAAAGGAGAGAACGTTGTGGAGAGCGATAATTACCAACGTCCTGAAGGGCCATGGCACATAGAAGAGAAGATTCAAACCAACTGTACAAAAGATAAAAATACAAAAAAAAAATTTCACCAAACTGAAAAAAATTCAGGAAGAGAGTCAATTAGTCTTTCCTGTCCAGCACTTATTTATCCAACCATTCTTCATTGTTCCTTTCAAAATAGCATTCGATTTATTAGGAATCCTTCATGACTCATTTATCAAAGTTACATTTACTACACAAAAATACGAGTAAGGTTTTCTTCTCTCTTCATTGGTCCTGAAGTTCTCTTCTGCACTCATCTGAAGTACCTCTGCCAGATTTTTCTCCTCTCGTCATTAGTCCAGAAGTTCTCTTCCAAATGCACTCATCTGAAGTACCTCTGCCAGATTTTTCTCCTCTCGTCATTAGTCCAGAAGTTCTCTTCCAAATGCACTCATCTGAAGTACCTCTGCCAGATTTTTCTCCTCTCGTCATTAGTCCAGAAGTTCTTCCAAATGCACTCATCTGAAGTACCTCTGCCAGATTTTTCTCCTCTCGTCATTAGTCCAGAAGTCTCTTCCAAATGCACTCTGCCAGATTTTTTCTCCTCTCGTCATTAGTCCAGAAGTTTCTTCCAAATGCACTCATCTGAAGTACCTCTGCCAGATTTTTTCTCCTCTCGTCATTAGTCCAGAAGTTCTCTTCCAAATGCACTCATCTGAAGTACCTCTGCCAGATTTTTCTCCTCTCGTCATTAGTCCAGAAGTTCTCTTCCAAATGCACTCATCTGAAGTACCTCTGCCAGATTTTTCTCCTCTCGTCATTAGTCCAGAAGTTCTCTTCCACCTGCACTCATCTGGAGTACTTCTGCCAGACTTTTCTCCTCTCACCATTAGTCCAGAAGTTCTCTTCCAACTGCTCTCATCTGAAATACCTTTTCCAGATTTTTCTCCTCTCACCATTAGTCCAGTTGCACTCATCTGAAGTACCTCTGCCAGATTTTTCTCCTCTCACCATTAGTCCAGAAGTTCTCTTCCAACTGCTCTCATCTGGTGTAGCTACGCCAGATTTTTCCCCTAGAATGGAGCTTTCAGTTGCACATATGTCAGGAAGGCTCAACACATGCATGACATATTTGTAGTTGAATGCCAAAATATCTGGCCTGTTAGACTACATCCAACATCCTGCTGACAATGTCTTCTCTGTCACCCTGGCAGTGGTAAGTTCCAGATGCTATGCATTGATGTGTGACCATTAAAATTTGTATGATATTAAGCAAAAACAAATTTTAAAAAGCAAAGAAAATGAGGAAAAGTAAATAAAAATGGAAGGGGAAAAAGAAAGCTATATAAAAATTTTAAAATATTTGAAAAGCTATATAAAAACAAAAAAGGACAGGTGAAAACACACACACACACACCTGTCTCATTAAATAATTTAGACAAGTTTTAATACAATCCTCTCATAATTACAGAAAAGTTTCTTAGTACCCTTATTAAAAGAAGAAAGAAAATTAGCATGTTGATGCATATTCATTTTATTCCAAGTACTTTTGGTATTAGTATAATGTTATCATCGAGGTCTTGTTTTTTTTAAGACAAAAAAATGTTGTGTTCATCATTTTTCTAAGATGAAAATTTTTCTTTGTTTTGCTTTTTTTAAATATTTACACATTTCAATAATTGGTTCCCTCTCTTGATGTTTTTATGCTTGTCTACATGATAAAGTTTAAAAATTGTACTATTTCTCTTCACACATAAAAATTTAATTTTCAAATTAACACAGCAACTTGGTCTTAGATACAGATAAAGTGTGAGGGAAGACCAGAGAAGATAAATGAATAATCTTAGTTGTTAACCTCTGCAGAAGTTTTGCTAGTATTTTATGAAAAAGAGTATTTTTGTACAAAACTTTTTTCAGTTTTTCTACAGGGAAGAAAATATTTCTTTGCATATCTTGACAAACAACAGCAACTAATTTTAATGACTCTAAGTGCCTCTAATGTGGCACAATACATTGCCATCAGCTATGGTTGAGAAGAGAAAGAAAAGGTCTTCAATTTGTACAGAAAAACTGGCAAAAATATTTTCGGCTGTAGGTCGACTTGGTATTTCTGGTTCCTATGGGACTCCATGTAAATGCAGTCTATAGAAAAAAACAATTTCACGAAAAGCATTGCCAGTAGAAAAAAAAAAGCAAGGAATAAAGAAACAGCAATTCTATATAAAAGCTGTTAGAGTCATCAGTTCCTCTTCTGTATAAAATTTAGAACAATATCTCTTGAGGCATGAATAGCAAATATATTGATATCATAATGTTAAATGTTGGTACTTAGTTCTTAGTCTATGATGTGGGTGGGAATCATCTAAACTTAAGGGGGATGTTGGGATAATGGTTGTCATATACTACAGAAGAGCAAATAAGTCCCATACTGGAAAGTGTTTTGAAAAACATCAGAAAGTGTGACACTGAAATCCGAAGGCATATTTGGATAGCAAAAAATGCCTTCCAGTCGATAACCAAAGTGTTAAGCAAAAGAAAAATTTAATTAAAAACAAAGAAAAGAGTACTGAACTTTTATGTAAATCCAGTCCTCCTATGTAGAAGTGAATGCTGGACAATCTCCTCAAAGAGGGACAAATGAAAATAATGCATAAGCTATCTAGTGAGCTTGAGTAAATGGATGGCAGAAGGTTTATAAGAGATAAAAACACAAAATTTACTAAGAGATACAAAGGAGAGGACATTGTGAAGAGCGATAATCACTAATGTTCTGAAGGGTCATGGCACATAGAAGAGAAGATCCAAACTAACTGTATAAAAGATAAAAATTCACCCAAAATTCACCAAACTGAAAAAATTGCAATAAGAGAGTCAATTAGTCTTTCCTGTCCAGCACTTATTGATCCAACCATTCTTCATTGTTCCTTTCAAAATAGCATTCGATTTATTAGGAATCTTTCATGACTCATTTATCAAAGTTACACTTACCACACAAAAATACGAGTAAGGTTTTCTCCTCTCGTCATTAGTCCAGAAGTTCTCTTCCAACTGCACTCATCTGGAGTACCTCTGCCAGATTTGTCTCCTAGAACAGAGTCTCTACTGAGTTAACATCTACATAACCCTGTCACTGGTTTCTAGCATCATCCCTAAATTAGACCCCCAAAAGGCAAGCAGATATGAAGGGATCCTTGCCATCATCCTAAAGAATTTGCTCCTGAGTTGTCTCCTGTTCTCTCTAAACTTTATCCTCACTGCTTACTGCTTTCCAGCTTGTTGGAAATCCTCCTCTGTAGTTCCTGTTTTGTGAATCCACTGACCCCTCAAATTATCACCCTTTTAGTCTTTTACATCTTTTCTGTAAAGTATTAATCAATGTCAAATTGGTTAAGCATCTTATTTCACATGACCTCCTTTTGGACTAACAATATGGCTTCTCTTTCAACAGGTCTACCACTGACATATTAATGGTCATCTCCAAAGTTATCTACAAAGCTTTAGATAAGAATGGTGAAGGTTAGTGGGTGTTTCTAAATATCTCAAAGACATTTGACATTATTTACATTATTTGGACTATTGTCCTCGTCTTTGTTGCCATATTTATTACAATGTTTCGGCCGTTGTACACTCCAGCCTTCTTCAAGTGGTTGGAATATTGAACTTAACCCTTTATTTTACTCACTTAAGGAATCAGCACATATGCTAGGCCACAAAAATTTCCTGAGCCGACCAAGCATAGAAATGAATACAATATGGGAACCAGTAAGAAGGAATGCCAGAGAAAAGCGATAATAACAACAAAACTTGCAATATGAGCTCTGGTAAAAAACATGAAATGATAACAGCAAAAAGTTGCAATATGAACACTGGTAAAAATGGTAGATAAAGACATTAGGTTTATAATACCCAGAAATTCCTACACAGATATCCTCAAGGACACATGGCATAGTAGATAAAGTCGTTGGTTAGATCTAGTGACAATGTGCGAGTTCAATACCCGGTTAAGGCAGTGGAGAACTTTCAGAGGGAAATTAACAGGAGATAACTGACATAACAGTCTACCCCAGTGAGCGAAATAAAGTGTTCAGTTTTGACATCCCAACCACCTGAAGGAGCATACAACAGCCATCAGTTCCCATCTAGGTATCAGGTCATCCCATAAGTTCTGTCCGAATTTTGAATAAAGAAAACAAGTGACCAAATGTTACATTTAATTACAGATTCAATCAACAATGTATTTTCCCTGATTATCTATGACTTCCTTCCATCTATTAACAAGCTTACTAATTCCATTACTGTAAAATTCTTTTGGCTTTGATTCGAAGAACTTACAAATATCAGTTTTAACCTCTTCCTGTGTTACAAAAGCTGTTTCTTCCAAATGATTCTGTAAGCTATGAAACAAATGGTAGTCTAAAGGAGCAAGATCGGGAGAATAAGGTGGATGAGGAATTTTCTCCCAACCGAGTTCTGCGATCTTTTGTGACGTGTTTCTTGCTGTGTGGGGTTGCGCAATGTCCTGATGAAACATCACCTCTTTTCAATTCACTAGAGCAGGTCTTTTTTCCTCAAAGCTTGGTTCAAACGCTCTAATTGCTGACAATATATTTGAGCATTAATTGTTGCATTAGGTGGTAAGAATTCAAAGCGGATTATTCCTTGGCAATCCCGCCAGATTGAAAGGAGGACCTTTTGCCCATGAAGTTCCCTTCTCGGCTGTGGCTGGGTCCTTCCCCTTTAACAAGCCACTGTCTATGATGCTTAACATTTCGATAAAAGATCCATTTTTTGTTGCCAGTCACAAGTCTATCCAAAAAAGGTGAAACAAGTTGACGAGAATGGAGAGAAGAACAGATGTTAACTCGGGATTTGAGGTTGTTTTCAGACAATTCATGAGGCACCCATTTTCCAAGTTTAGGAACTTTTTCAAGTTGTTGAAGATGATGATGAACAGTTGTATGGTTTGAACTGAGAACCACTGCCAATTCCTCAACTGATAAAGCAGGATTTTCTTCAAGGGCTGCTTCAAGAAGCTTTTCATCAAACTCAACTGGGCATCCGGTTCGATCTTCATCTTCAAGGGTGAAACCTCCACCTCTGAATTTTGCAAACCATCTTCTGCAAGTTCTTTCATTCACACATTCCACTCTATAAACTGAGTGAATGTTTCTAGCTGCTTCTAGCTGCTTCAGCTGCTGAGTTTCCTTTCTTGAACTAATAAAGCATTAATTGCCTGAAATGATTCTTGGGTACTTCCATGTTAGCAGGGTTTTAATCAAACAAAATTTTATTTTATTGTTCTCTGAAATAAAATTTGATCAGTTTAAATGCATCTAAACATAAAAATAATGTTCAGCTCCATTAGACATTATAAAATACTCTTTAAATTTTGTTCATATTAACAAAACGGTAAAATTCGAACAGAACTTATGGGATGACCTGATATTTATGCAGATGACATTACCATTTACTCCTGATTCAACAACTTGGCAACTACTCTTGAAAAAGACTTGTAATTAGTAGTTAACTGGGGCAAGAAATGGCCTATAAATTTCAACGCCTCCAAAATAAAACTGTTTTCATTTAATCACTGCAGATAACCTTTTCTGTAATTATCAGGAGGGCTGATGCTAAAATCCAGAAGAGCAACATTCTATGACTTCTTGACTTCATGTTTTGCACTGGCATGAAGTGGAGGGACTATATCAAGTCACTGTATCATGCCAAAAAGTTTTACTTGTCAGAATCCATCTTGCACATTTATAAATCTACCATTTGTCTGTGTATTGAATACTGTTGCTATATCTGGTCTGGTGCTCTTTGTTGGCAAAATCCAGAGAAGGGTCTGCAATATAATCAGTTCTAACCAGGCATCTTGTCTCCAGTCACTTTCTCATCAATATGATATGACATTCTCTGTGTTCTATAAATATTTTCATGCTTAGATGAATTTTTTTTCTCTGGTACCCCAAATACATAAA